GCAAACAATGTAACTATATATTGTTTCCAATCAATAAAATGTGTCATGAGGCTTCCCCTAAAAATATGAATACCATGTAGTTATGGGTTAACAATGCTTAGAATTGCTAACGTAGTTAGATATTTTTCTCTAAACACAATACAAATGCCATTAGATTTTGGAAGTCGTGTATGCACGATTTTTTATGTTGGACCCATATAAAGTTCAACATTTTTTATGAAATTTGATAATAAAAGTATTATAGTGTCATTGAATTAAAAACAATCCAGGAATCAATCAAGCAATATACACTGTAGAACCTACTTCCTTGCCTTCCCATCACAAGCGGATAAGCCACATCTAGGGCAAACTCTTCCCCTCAAGGTTGCGCCGGTGCCTCGCCTCCGTCTACTAGTTTAGTTTAGGATTTTTTAGTCCTCGCAAGGGTGGTGCTCGGACGGATGATGCGCTTCTTCGTTGAGTTGGATTTTGGGCTCTGATCCTCCTCGAGTTTGTTTGTCTAGACGAAGTCAATAGAGCTCTGACATATATTTATGTCAGCTTGTTGGTCGGTGAGGTTAGGGTTTTCTTCATGTGTACATGATGCGCAAGATCTGGTGCCAAGCGTTCTGTACGGATTTAGGGGTTCGACGCTATGGCTACATGGCACTAGTCAGCATTGGCATGTGCAGAAAGACTTTTCGGTTTTCATCAAGAAGGCCAGGCTGACTCCTGTAGGGGAGCGACAACAACGACACATCGGTGGCGATGGTTCTAGCCCCTCATTTTTGTTTTTACTCACTTTGTCTCTGAAAACAAGGCTTATATTTTTGTCTTAAGTCAAATGATGCAGATTATGATCAGATTTGTACGAAAAATCATCAACAACTACAAGCTTAAACATATACGCCCTCCAATTTGAATTAATTGACGCATCCTCTAAACAATATGTATTTTACATTGTATAAAGGTCGTGTCAGTTAATTCAAATATGAGGGAGCATAAGATATGATGTATCTAATGATACGAATTTGGTGTCATAGTTTTGATAATCCTTTGCTACAAACTTTGTACCCTTGTTGTCACAAGAAGAAAAAAGTGCATGCTTTCTTTTAAGACATGAAGGGAGTATTTTGTTGAGCATTGTACTTTTAATGAACTTTATAGTAGATCTAATCCTTTTTAGCCTTTTTTCTAAGTTTTGTTAGGGTTTATGCCATGTTGAAGAAGATGAGGCGGTGGTGGCTTCTTGAAGATGGAATAAGGTCCCCCAGCCTAGCCTCTATCCTGGTGATGTTTCAAGCGTTGTTAGAAGGCGTGTGGAGGTTTGTCTTCGACGGATCTCGTGGGATCCGATCGGCGTTTGTCTTCGGTGGATCCGACTCGATCCGATCTTCGTTCGTCTACGTCCGCG